GTACACTTTTCCCGTTTCACAGAAGAGATAATCTACCCGAGCTTCCGAAAAAAGTATTGTAAAACGTATAAAAAAAATTTTTTATCAATTGGGATCGCTTGTGTAACATGGACGGTCCTACCTCGAACTCCTCTGTCATTTTTATCCCTATATAAATAACAATCACGTGATTAGATAGTTAAGCTGTTTTGGCCCAAATTTTTTTTAATTCTGGTCAAATAAAAATTAAATTTTAATTTTGGACAGAATTTAGAAACGTTTGGTCCAAAAAAATATAAATTTTTACGTATACGCACGACTACGTATTAGCTAGTTATTTTGTAATGTTCTTATGCATCTAAGGAATGTTTTGATCGAGCTAGACCAACGTATTACCTGACAACCCATTTTTCGAGGTATAAGTCTTAAGGGATACTTCAAGGTTAGAGTGCATTTTAGCAGTAATGTATCATTCTTTTGCAAGAACGAAATCAATCACCGAAGCCTTATGCAGTATCATTATCCGTAGCAACCAATATAAAAAACTGGACATTCGCAATTGATAGTAAACAAGAAAATACATCGACTCTCAAATTCAATTCATTTTATAAAAACAACAGTTTTTTTTTTCAATACATATACATAATATATTTTATAATTTTTTTATAACAATATTTTTTCTTTTTAACAAATACAAAAAAAATTTTTTTTTTTAAAATACAATATATATATATAAAGATATAGAAAAGAAAATACAGTATTTTTTTTTTTTTTTTTATCATCGAAATCAATTTTTTTTTTTTTTTTTTTTAAAGAAAAATCTCGAGTAACAGAACTGGACCATTCGGTTATGAGAATAGTACCTTTCCCGTCAAGATTCTTTTTTTGGTTTTTTTTTTAAAAAAAAAAGTTTCGAAAATCAAATATATACATAGAAATAAAAGCTTAAAGGTAAAAAAGAGGGTAATTCATAATTCGGTATTTCTTTTGAGAAATTCTGTTAGTAAAAACAGTACCGAGTAGTTAATAAAAATAAGAAAATTTTGAATCAAAGTTGGAAAAATATTAGGGTTTTTCGCTCATTGACAAAATTCTACTAATGAAGCTTACTCCCTCAGTATTACCAAAATTTGTAGAAAAGTATTGTTGCGGAAAAGTAGAAAAGGGGAAAAAAAAAAAATACGCAAAAAAAAAAAGTGAAGATATAAAGTAGATAGATGGTGGGTGGATAAATATATAGCGGTTGAATAAAAAAAATAAGAATGGCTGTACAATAAATGTTCTTTTTACGAAAAAAAAATTTTTTTGTGAAAATCTGAATGTTCTTAGACAGTCCAACCAAGATCTTTTTTTAATACGACCTATCCCAACCAAGTGAATCCACAATAAGAATCTAAAATACTTTGTTATAGAATCTATATATATGTATAAAATATGTTCGTATAAGTATAGAAGAAAGATAATTATATAAACAATGATAAAACTACTTTTGTGTAAATATAAGAAATATTACAAAGAAATATATATATATGGAATGTCTGTTTTACGACGATTAAGTATGAAATTATCATGTGAAAAGTTTGTTTACGTTCACAAAAAAAAAAAAAAGAAAAAGAAAAGAAAAAGAAAAAAGGGGGAAAGAACAATTATAATTAATCAAAACTATAGATCAGTCGGAATATCAAAGAACAAATTATATATATAAATTCTTGCATATTCATATTGCTTCAATTATTATAAGTAAAAAATTTGAGCGAGTCATATGATCTTAGACCTTAACATAGTTTTGATGACCCCATAAAACTATCGACTATTCCTTCATCCGTGGGAATGGATCAAATTAATACCATGATAATCAACAAAGTCAGATAAACCCGAAATATTAAGCGTGAAAAATTTACGCATATGATTCAAAATCCAATCGGATTTCTTAGAGGCGGAGACTGAATAATGCCTTGTTTTTTCTATTAGGCGGAGTGAACGAACATACGTAGGCGTATATTATATTACACACCCTTTTTTTTTTTTTCTACTCCAAAATCAAAACCATCACAGGCCTAGTTGCTAAGGCCTATTAACGCGATTAAACAAGGCTTGTCCACCATAAAAAAAGAAGCATCTTTTGAGAAATTCAATTGCAAATTGGAATGTTGAAGGAAAGGGAAAAGAATTCCAAGGACTAGTAGAGTTGTGGGTTTTAATTCATGAAAATATTATAGATTTTCTGTCGATTATTAATATTTAATTATACCTCCGCGAACGAAATAAAGGTAAGAAGATAGGATAGAAATAATGATGAATGAGAAGGGAATAAAAAGAAATATTGAATTAATAGTAATAATAAGGAATATAAACATAATTTTCACATAAATAATTTTTTTTTTTTTGCAAATCCAAGTCAACGCATCCTCTTAATTATACATATGTGGAATAAAGACATCTGTGATGCGCTAGGCACCACCAATTAATCCAAATACCAGCTACTTCATATTCATTTTCATTTTGTTAATAACAATTATTATTTTTTTAGACTTTGCTCACCGCAACACTTAGTGGAACTGAAGGGATTTGAATTTTCGATTTTTGAATAGATGAACGTCGATGTTTTGTTGCACTACGAATGGGTGATTGACCTCGAGAAAATTTCGGTGATTGCGGCGGTGTAGTAGGTAAAGGCATTGTTGTAGAATAAGATGAATATGAAGGTGGGGGAGCGAGAAGTGGAGTAACAAGAGAGCGGCATGAAACAAGACGGGCTTCGAGACTCTGTTTTGAAAGAAAGAAAATAATCGTAAGTTTAAAAGATAAATAACAAATTCTTATAATAATGAATTAGAATATTAATAAAAGTATTATGATAATTACTTTGACCCTGCCAACCATCTCTTGTACCATCTTGACGGGATTCGAATTTGGATCCAATGATGCATCGGTCTTTCCTAATGTAGAAAGTGAGTATTTGGCAGACATTCGTGCAGCAGCAGCAGTAGACGTTGGTGGTGGACCATATTCACCGTCTTCCTTATTTTTCATTATAGCTAATTCTATATTCACATCTAATGGAAATTGACAAATGGTAAACATTAATTAATAAATGAGATTTTTTAAAAAAAAATTGATAGATAAATAATAAATAATAATAGAAAAAATGATTAAAATACCTCTCAATTCATCTTTCAATCTTTGTACTTGTACGATTAATAGATTTTTGCCTTCAAGTTCGTTTTCAAGGATTGCATTCCGTTCGATAGCTTTGTTGTACTTGTTTTCAAGATCCTGCAATGAGCTCTTTGCAGCTCTATATGAGAGAGTAATAAAGAATATTGATTAATATTGAGACTTAAATTATACATAAGGAAGCTTTTTAATTTTAGCAAATCAAGAAATCAACCTTTCCGTTCGTTCAAGATCATCGTTGTCAAGCTCCAACTCCCTTGTCTTAATAATAAATGTATCTTTCAAAGATTGTAACGTATCAATCTCTCTTTGCAATTGAGTGGCCGTAACGTTACATTCGGATTTAGCTTGATAAAATTTTTGCTAAAATGATTAAATAATAAATGAGTTAATTAATGTTAATAATATAGATTTCGAAAAACTTTAAACAAAGATATTCATCAATTATATAAGAATATTTACCTTCCATTCATCAACTTCATTTTTTAAGCATTCATTTTTACTTCTCAACTCTTGGTGTATTTTTTCAGATTGTTCAAGTTCTCTCATAAGTTCTTCTTCGAAATCTCGGGCAGAAGTTTGAACTTCGTCAAGTTCAGCCTGAGTTTGATTTAAAGTTTCCTCCAATTCTGAAACTCGGCTTTTATAATAAGCGAGTTCCTCATTTATATTTGCAAACGAACTATTGAAGAAAAAAAATATAAAAAAATATAGATGAGTGAAAGTTTGAGAATAATCTATTTTCAAAAAGTTCAAAGACTTTCTACACTTACTTTCCAGCCATAGTTGTTTTTTTCAATGAACTAATTAAAAAGGTTGGTTAATAGTGAAAATCAATCAGATGCTCGACTTTTGGAAGAGACAGAGGACTAAAATAGAGATTATGGAGGTGAAGAGAAAGGATGATATTATTAACGAGTATTTAACGAGGAGAACCTTGTTCTATTTCTTAATAACCAGACAGAAAGTCTGAACAGAATAAAAGAAATTTATTTGCTTCTTACTTTTTATTATTATTATATTATTATTACAAGACGAAAACTTAGTTCATGAAAAACCCAACCGAAGGCTCGTACTATTTTTTGAGACAAGAAATCAGGGAGAATATAAAGGAAAGGGGAGTTATAAACCTTAAGCTGTGTTTGTGATTTGTGTTCAAAAAAAAAAAATTTTCAATAGTAGTATTTTATTTTTCAATAGTAATGTAACGATAATATGATACTGTAATAGTAGTATAACAGTATAATACATATTGTAATACTGTAATACTGTACTGTATATATTTCATGATATTTAAAGTGATGTATGTATAAAAAAAAAAAAAAACCTGCTCTAACCTTTAAAAAGAAAATGATTCTCAATTTATTTTAAAATAACAACATATTTACTTTAATATATGAAAAAATCGGGATAAGATTTAAAATAGATTTAGGGGAATTGAATCCGTGAAAGGGTCACACCGTTGTCACTTTTTTTTTTTTAAGTTCTAATATTACAATAACAACGGTACAGTACAAGGCAGGGATAAGCACAAACACAGAAAAAAAAGGGCTTTTTTTTTCGGCTGAATTGGGTTAGAATAAGGAAATTTAAAGGTACCATAGCCTTTTTCTCCAATAATATCATTAATACTATTACGTTTACTTAACTAAAATTAGATGAACTAAATGTTATTATGAAAAATCGACAGAACATCGTCATGGAAAAAAAAAAGTGTCATCGTTTATAAAAATAAAGACGGCCGAATTCGTTATTGATCATGATAGACGAATTATAAATTGCCCTAAAAAAAAGTCGATCTTCCCCAATAAATAATCCATGCTAAAAATCAAGATAATTAATTTGACCAATCAAAATTCACTCAGGCTAATTTTCGAAAAAAAAAAAAAAATGGGGTAGTTCAAAGATCAGATTATTCGCAATAATCCCATCACTAAGAAATTAAAAGGAATGTTGATAGTGTATGTCAGATGCTGCAATCAAGTGTGGCCACGGTTCAATTGCTTTTTTGCTCGATTTCTCTGCATAAATCTTAAGACAAACAACATTTTTGGCTAGTCGGTATTCTCCTTTATCGTTACACATCCCCACTTGATTTGACGCAGATGTCATATTTGAAGCTATTGTCAAAGAGAACTTCTTTTCCCTTTGTATGCATATTTTTTTTGGGGAAAGTTCCGATGAAGAAATTTACAAACAATACACCCCTCAAGAGAAGAACAATCAGGTAACACTGTGGTAGCTGGTACAATCTAATATTAATTTTGACAACTGTCGGTATATTACCTCAAGGAATACAAAAAAAAAAAACATTGATCTTTTTTCGTACATTCAATTGATTATTATTATTATTTTTTTTTTTAAAAAAAAAATATATCTCTATTGTGGAGATTTTTCATGGCAATTGGGCGCCTCTTATGTGATCAAATGCAGCAGTAACTTGAACTTTCGGCTGCAAATCCGAAAATTCAACTCAAGGTTTGGTAAGAGATGTTATTAAAAAGCAAGATGGGAAAAAAGAACAATGAACGGAGATAATGGATGAAATAAAAAAAAGTGGAGTGCAGATCATTCATAATCAGAAAGGGAAGGCGATGACCGTAACTGAGAAAATTCAAGCATTCTTCTTGACAAAAAAAAAAAAAATTTATTTATTGAAAGATAACCATAAAAAATCGTATCTTTATGCGGTAAAAAAATTCATAAAACTTTAACAATTCACTTTTACGAACTGGATTGGCTGAATTAATTGGTCACATTATCTTTCACAGAACTATAAGAACCAGAATCGAAAAAAAACTGGTTATTACTACGTAAAAATATGGATATTTATCATTCTAAAATACATGGCTTTTCTTACCATTATGCATAAACAATGGTGCCTCTTAATTATGGTGAGATTGAAAAAAAAAAATCTTGGGGTATGTCTTGTCATCTTTTGATTGGCTTAAAAAAAGAGGCAGAATAAATAAACATTTCAAAGAGATGAAATATTTTTTGTGCTACAATTTGGATACGCAGAATCGTAACAGATTAATAAAGGCGTTATTCCAAACGCGAATACATTATACGTCAAACTACATGCATATTAATAATCCATATTACAGAAATTATGGGCTGTCACGTGATTGTGGCCTCTGCGCAAGCATTTTAACAATATTGAATTTTGGAATCTTTTGATTCTTTTGCAATTCCCATAATTCGTATAGCTCAAAAAAGATCGAATTGATCCTTAATGAGTAACGTTTATTAAATATTGATACGATGCTTAAATGTGAAACCAATCACGTGATGTGGGTCTATATATCGCTCGAATCGTCATAAACAGTAAAGGTGTGTATTCTTTATTATAATACTGTATATCTGATATACTGTATACATATATTAATATATTAATATACTTACTACGTAAAGCTAATACAATAATATATATATTATTATTTTTACAAACAATTTGGCATTGACCAATAATCTAGCAATAACGCTTCATGAGATTGTCATTCTCATCTAAAGCCTATTCATGATTTAACAATGCTCGAATGAATAATCAATATAATTGGCGTTATTCGAAGCAAATTCGTTTTATGCACATTTCTTGCAGCGTTAACGCCTTGATTTCATAAAAAGTTGGTATTCTTTGTACACTTTTCCTAATATTATACTCTCGGGGTTATAATCATTGTGAATCACATGCTGTAACTATGATTGTAACCCCAACTAACCCCCCAGTTGCAATATCAAGAAAGTTGGCCTTTAGTTGTGTTCGCCTTTTCCCGACTGGAACAATCAATCATTAACATTCTTTTGTGGTTAATGACATTCCGATGAATAATAAATTATTGTTAGGCATAATTCCATAATAAGTTATTTGCTTTGTTTATCCTAACACTGAATATTTTTTGGTAAATAATAATTTTTTTGATTGTTACTGTATTATTTTAAATTATTTTAAAATTTCTATTATATTATAACACCTAATGTTGCACCAATTATGCTAAAATTATTCTTTCGCAATTACAAGGATGTCTGATTTTGGTCAACTTCTTCAAGTGTAACAGTTATACCCGGTATATGTATCTACATAAAGTTAGTACAAATTCATTTATGATACGTCATTTAAACCCCATGTTTACATTTTTTGTTGATGTATGTACGTACTTACGTACTTTATTGTTGACTTCCAAGCATCTATCGAATACTAATTGATCTTGATTGGTTATATCTTTTATCATCAGAAGTTGTGAATTTTTTTTACTTGATTTACTGCTGCGTTGCATGATCGTATCTCCGAACTAAATTATTTAAATCATTAATGATCGGAAAAATCTGAACAATCAGCTGCGTCAAAATGCATTTATTTATTTCCTCATCAAGTCAAAAACATTGAGAGTAATTTTCTAGAATGCCTTTTTTTTTTATTATTATTGTTTAATTTTAATTTGGTAATGGTTTCTTGGCTGTACGACCCAGTATTTTTCAATATCACATGATTTTTTGATTGAAAACTGATACTGATCCGTATCGGTATCTGGTATCGGTATGTAACTTATATATTAACTTATAATATCATATATATACGTATTATAATATCTATATATATATTATAATATCTATATATATTATCGTTATGTATTTCAGTGATTATCGTTATTTAATCAAATTTTCATTTCTGATGAATATATTTTGAGGCTTATTGTTATTGTCCTCGTACATATCACCTCCAAATATACATCTTAATATACATCTTAATATACATCTTTAATATACATCTTTAATATACATCTTAATATACATCTTAATATACATCTTAATATACATCTTAATATACATCTTAATATACATCTTATGTGACAGCTACATAATCACCTTACAAATGTTTGAAGTTTTTACGTTTCTAGAAACCGAATCGTCATTTTAACCCCCTTAATAGGTTCCTGTTTGAACCTTTATGACGTAAACGTCCCAAAAACTGGTTCAAAGCCGGTGGTCTGTGTGGCTATTTTTATATCCTCATATAACTTCATTTTTGAATCTTAATCTGTTATCGTCATCTAAATTTATTCTTATTTTCTTCATTATCTACTACGTACAGAATTACATTATTCTTTATATTAATGTTAATCTATTTTGTGTGATCGAGATTTTGACCGAACATATCTGTCTCTGGTCAATCAATGTGCTCATTTTTATTCAAAATGCGGTTAGTAATATTCTGCACGCCATTTGCATTTTTAGTATAAAATGATTCAATAATAGTCCCAATTAAAGGTCTCTTCTGGAAGCGCATTCAACCGCGTTTCTGCGTCAGTACTCTGCACTTTTCCTGTTTATTACAAACTTATTTAAAAAATACTAACTCTAATTTCTCCCTATTAGTTGTCTCTTTTTCATTGGTCTCTAATTTATTTTCCTTAATTCATACGTATTAAAAAAAATTTTGTTTATAATCTTCTTTTAAAGCTCAATTATGATAATCGTTTTCTTTTCTTTAATAATTCAATGTTGATCTTTTTATTATATAATTCTTGCGTGTGATATAGGAAACAAAGAACAAACTTAAATTTTATGTCTTATTTCGGTTACGAATTTTTCATATAGATATTGACATAATATATATTCGATCAGCAAGCCGTGTTTAAAATCATATGATTTTTCTATGAAATTTCCTCTTCTTTTTAACTTTAAAGAATGCGGTATGCTGCGGTAGGACTATACAGGAAAAGATTTATCCACAAAAACGCTATTTTTCTTTTTCTTTTTATCATTCCTTCAATTACTTTTTCG